GGGGGGGGGGAGGGATTTTTTTTTCGGAGAACGGGCGAAAATCGGTGCGCGCGCAGGATGTCATCCATAAAAATAAAAAGTGTGGCCTTATCACAGACTAATATATTACTTTTTGAAACACTGTCACAGAAATAGTTTAAAGAATGACTTGAACTAAAAAGTTACCAAAAGACTACTTTTTACACCAGTCATAATGCAGAATGAAGACAATGAAGTGGTAGTTTTCCACATTGCTAATGGTAACATTATAAACAGAAATAATAATGAAAACTTTCCCATGACTATCACAATCTATATCTCAATTCATCCATATTGTCATTAAGTTTGACACCATTTTTATTGAAATTATCAAGATAATAGATGGTTAATGCCTATACAAATGTAGTGACTCCAACATTTCAATACATATATGCATAATAGATGTCATCATCGATATTTTCAGTAGTGTGGGTATATCCGAACCTCGGGGTGTTGGCTATGGCATAGTCATTGGATTTACTGGGATAAAAGTTCAATACACAGTGTCCATCCACACCCGTGGCTGCAGTCAGTTTATATCTTACATATGTTGCCCTGTTGTCTCCAGAGGCCTTTCTAGCATAGTATTCTACCAAAGATTTATAAACATCTGCTGTTATTCCTTCCTTCAGTGTAGCATTGGAGCTCTCTTTCCAAGTAACGAATCCATAGTCCCCATGTTCCTCTTTCCTAGAAAAGTGTGCAACATGCACGCGGCTCCGACCAGGGCTACTGCCTTTCCTGTATACTACAGCTGAGAAATATTTCCCACAGTTCTTCTCACAGTATTCCTTGATGACCTTGGCTTTCCCATATAATGTACTCTCGTTGTAGGTTATCCCTGGGAAGCTGAAGCTGAGGAAAACGGTCTCTTCATTGGTGGGCATGATTACACATGAAATAACTAAAATAATGAAAATGGAGGTTTTATTGTTATTTCCTGTAAAATGTTCTAGTAGGGGATTTCAATCTGGTAAAAGTGCCTGAATTAACTGAAACATTTTCAATAGTGCAGCATACTGTCCATAATATATAAAATCATGGCTGATTCTGTTGCAATTGTATGCCCCTCCCCCTCATAAACACACATACTCACACACGTATGTCAATAAATCCACCTACCATAGTTCATTCAAGTAGCATGTGCCAAATATGCCCTTATATTAATTATCATCTACACAGTTTGATGATTTCAAATTACGTTTTAGAAAACTAGGGGAGACCGGGGCTAGTTGGACTCCGGGGTTTGGTGGGCCNGGGGTGCAAATCACAGAGAATTTAACTAGTAAGTCACTGCAAAACTCTGTAAGACTTCTAAATCAATTTCTGAAATAACAGTCCATATACTATCGTGAGCATGAAGTGCATCACAAATTACCACAAAGCCCCCCCCCCATCGAGTCTCTTTAATAAAGTTACTTGATGCTAAATTATTTCATTTGGACTCACTGCCGACGCTTTCTTAGCACTATTGGATACGGTCACTTTTCAAAATGACGTAATCAATTGTTTTACCCCATAGTTACTTTGTCATAAATTGATTGGGGGCAAACTTACCCCGGGGTCCAACTAGCCCCGGTCTCCTACTCATTTTAAATCAAATTAAATCAATATTTGGTAAATTAACTGAGGTATTTAAGTTAAATGATATTAAGTGGGTCTATAAATGAACTGAAATCAAGTTTTACAGTACGGATTTTTGGTCACTTATATAACTTTATAGTCTGTTGTACCCTTAGCTGGATTGAAAAAAACATCATAGCACATCTACATACTTGGCAGAGAGAATAAATCAGTCAGTTTGTTCTTTATCTCTGGAACCATAACAACGCCTTGGTGTTACGTGTATCAATCATTCACCAGACTTGAAGGATTTGAAATTAAAATTAAAGCTAAAATGGAGAAAGCAATATTTGATGTTTTCTGTTACACGATGTGCTGTTGTTCGCAATACTCACATGTGAAGGCTATTTGAAGTCGGAATAAACCTTAATGCAATGAGTATTTTTTCTACATGTACCATGTACATCTACATACTATTGTGTACTGTGTAGTCTATAAACTAGTTGCTTCTTGGAAGAGCTGATAAAGTGCCACCATAAACTAAAATAAATATGCTTAAGGGCATGTGACACTGACATCTTTTATCACCAGACAAAATTGGGTGATTGCTTACATTAGGTTACATACAGCGAGAGTTTTATTTTCAAATAAAATTCTCGCTGTATGTAGCGTAATGTAAACATAAAATTACCTTAGAGTTAGCCAACGAAAACGCGGCAAGTTATTGACTGCGGGTGAATTGTAGATTCTCACATTGCATTTCAATGGGCTGGATTAAACGTGATTAAAACTAATAAAAAGACCACAGGTAATTACAAAAGCATTTTATTTCAACAGCTTTGACATTGCTGAACAAGAAATGTAAAAAACTGTTTGAAAAGTGAAAGTTACAGAAAGTTACAAGGTGGGGAGGGGGGGGGGTATTCTACAAAAGTACCCAAATATCCTTTAGTTATCACAGAGAAATATACAACAATGTTCACACACTTAATAAAAATAGCATGGAGATAGTTCGAGGATTACATCAACCTAAAAAGTCACCATGGACTACTTGATTTGCACCAGTCATAACGCAAAATGAAGATACCGCAATTGTTGGTGCATGATATGGTTGTTTTGCAGGGAGAATTTGATATAATATGATATAATAATGACAACATTCCCATACGATTCGCGTTTGGTTACCACATCAGTATATCCATATCATCCAGATAAAAGTCCTGTGCTAATGCAAGTGTGGAGAATCAAAAACAATTAATACATGTATGCATAGTAAATGTAACCATTGATAGTTTCAGTTGTGTGGCTATATCCTGACCTCGGGCTGTTAGCTATGGCGTAGTCATTGGAATCACTGGGCAAAAAGGACAATACACAGTGTCCCCTCACACCTGTGGCTTCAGTCAGTTTATCTCTTACATATACTGCCCTAGAGGCTCCAGAGGCCTGTTTAGCATAGTATTCCACCAAAGCCTTATAAACCTCTGCTGTTATTCCTTCCTTCAGTGTAGCAGTGGAGCCCTCTTTCCAAGTAAAGAATCCATAGTCCCCATGTTCCTCTTTCCTGTAAAAGTCTCCAGCATGCCACAATGCATAGCCTGGCCGACTGTCTTCCTTATATACTACAGCTGAGAAATATTTCCCACAGTGCTTCTCACAGTATTCCTTGATGACGTTGGCTTTCCCATATAATGAACTCTGGTTGTATGTTATCCCTGGGAAGCTGAAGCTGAGGAAAACGGTCTCTTCATTGGTGGGCATGATTACACATGAAATAACTAGAATAATGAAAATGGATATTTTGTTGTTATTTCCTTTAAAATGTTCTAGTAGGGGAGTTCAGTCTGGTAAGAATGACTGAAACATTTCCAATAGTGCAACATACTGACATTTATATACACCCATGGCTGATTCTGTTGCAATTGTGTACACCACCTCCCTAAAAAACACATATACTCACACACAAAAATATCAATAAAACCACCTACCATAGTTCATTCAGTAGCATGTGCCAAATATGCCCTTATATTATTATTAACATCTACCTTTTGTCATAGTTTGGCGATTTTTAAATCAGAAATTTTAAATTAAAATGGTCAAATTCCATTTTAGAAACTTCCTCCTTTTAATCAAGTTATGTCACTATTTGGTTACATTATTTAGGTATGAAAGTTTAAACTGTATTATGTGAACCTATATATGAAATGTTATCAATTTCTGCAGTATGGATTTTGCACTCAAAAGGTCAGTTGCACTCTTAGTCGGACTGTGAAAGCTGTAATAGGAGATTGTAGGCAGAGAAATAAACAGAATATTGTGAATATCAGTCAGTTTGTAGTTGATCTATGGAAATGTAAGCATGTCTTGGTGTTACATGTATCAGTCATGCACTCGAATTATTTCAAATTAAAATAAAAGTTAAAATTGAGAAAAAAATCTTTGAACTTAATTTCCTGAAATACAGTGTAGTATTTCTAGTAATACTCACATTTTAATGCTAATTGTAATTGGAAAAAACCTTAATACAATGAGTATTTCTTTACATGTAGCCTACCATATACCTGCAGACACTATTGTGTACTGTGGTCTGGAAACTAGTTGCTTCTTGGAAGAGCTGATAATGTGCCACTATATACTTACATACGGGCATGTGACACTGATATTTCTATCACCAGATAAAGGTGGGTGGTTGTTTGCAATATGTTATATATGATGTTGATAGCTAAAGTTAACTGTATAGGAAGGTGTAAGGTACAAAATAACAATTTCAGGTTTGGTATTAACTTTAATTAAGTGCCCACTTGTGTATTAAAGACTCACCATTGTACTTGAACTATGTTAAGTAAGTATTTAGTATAAAAAAGAATGATTTCAAATTATATATATATATATATATATATATATATATATATATATATATATATATATATATTCGTCAATCCAGTGGTGTGCCAAATTTCCTTTCCATACAGACACATCCCAACTTTTCAAGTCTGGTCGAGTTATTTTAATTCTTCCACGTAGTTTTATTAGCCAGGAGCTTATTTATTAGAATTATTGATCTACAATGTTGTTGGAGGTTCAGTTATACAAATCTAACTGCAAAATATCAGTCTTATGTGATATTTTCATATAGCTTGATTTCAAATTGACTGTATACAGGCTACAGAAGTTTGATGAAAAAGTAATTTTCTGAATTTCCAAGCCATCATCAAACATTTTTCTTGCACTTTCTCTTTTGACAATATATTATCTAATAACCTTAGTAAAATATGATAATAAATAATACCAGAATATATTATCAAATATCATGAGTTAAAGGTTAAATTTGTGTTTTATTCAGCTTGCAATATTTTTTAAAAAGTAATAATAAAGATATAAAGACAAAGAGATTTTAATTATTAATTTGTTTTACTCTAATATATATATTAGATTTTATATATATATATATATATATATATATATATATATATATATATATATATATATAAGAAAAGTTCAGAATTGCACTGAGCCTAGCTATTGCAAATGGATGGATTAAAGTTCGAATTATAATAATGTCATATTCAACATTGTATTAGACAAAAGTTAAATACAATGATGTTAAATAAATTAGAAATGTTCGGATACATTTTATACCCTCCATAGTGGTGCATCAAAAGCCTGGCCCGAGGTATGCATATTAGTTGATTGTCTTGGTAAATAACAATCTTACCATGCAGCTTTATTGTTTGTTTGCTTGTTTTATTTTCTATGATCTGTTAAACTGTTAAGAGGTGTTAAAACAGTTAAAACTGCCCATCTAATATAAATCCATACAGTACTTGATCGTACTTGATTCTGGCGTCATTCTTATTCATATTCTATATCCAGATACAGAATATGCTAAGTCAACCTTGTAGTGAGTCAAAACATTTCAATACATGTATACATAGTAGATATAATCATTGATAGAGTCAGTAGCGTGGTTATAACCCAACCTGGAACTGTGTGCTATGGCATAGTCGTCGGATTCACTGGACGAAATGCACCAAACACAGTGCCCACTCACGCCGGTGGCTTCAGTCAGTTTGTCATTAACATATCTCGCCCTTTCGTCTACAGAGGCCCATTTAGAGTAGCATTCTACCAACGCTTCATAAACCTCTGCTGTTATTCCTTCCTTCAGCGTACCAGTGGAGCTCTCTTTCCAAGCACAGAAGCCATATTCCCCGTGTTCCTCTTCTCTGAAAAATTCCCCTTCATATTCGAACACCCGGGATGGGCGGCTGTCTTTTTTGTAAACTACAGCTGTGAAATATTTCCCACAGTGTTGTTCACAGTACTCCTTGATGGCCTTGGCTTTCCCATATAACGTTGTCTCGTTGTAGGTTATCTCTGGAAAGCTGAAGCTGAGGAAGGGGTCACTTTCATTGCTAATGGACATGGTATTGGTACCCTCTTTGTCCTGTCAATGAAAAAAAGGTGGATGTTTTTAAAAGTAATTACAAATGAAAAAAAAATAAGAAAAGCAGAATTAAAGAGTTAACATTTGGCAAGAGACTCCAATACTGAACAAACTATTTTGGTTTCGAAGATCTATAGTGCTACCAATTGATACTCCGCCAGATACTCCTTCAGCTGTCAGCTGGCTTAGACCCCTTTTCTGGGAAGTCATGAATTAAAATGGTGCTAAAACATTGTAAATAGCTGTGGAGTTATGACCTCTCTTGTGAGATTTTAAATCAGACACGAAATTCAATTGAAGAAATGAAGTGTCCTGGTGAACAACATAATACTCACTTGTAAAGGCTATTTGTTGTGACGAGTATTTTATCCACCATGTGTATGCTAACGAGTGCTGTTTATGCTGCTATCTACAAACGTGCTAACAGGCATGTAACACTGGTATCTATCAAAAATAGGTTATTGCTTAAATTGAGTTATATTGATAGCGAGAGATTAATATACCCATTAGACGGTGCCAGGTACAAAAGAACAGTTATCATGATATTATTTTTAATCTGCGTTAATTGCAGATATAGCTGCAATCATACTGTTTTGGGGGTGTATGTTATCCACTAAAAAGAATGATTATTTTTTTATATTGATAATCTTTTCCAGCTATAGGCCGATTCAAATATGAACTATTTTAATTTTTCGATAGAGTTTCATCAATCAATCAATAGCTTTTATGTGTTCATTAATACTGATGGTGGTTCAATGTTTCAAATCCAACGTACTGCACACAATTGGATTTAAAGTTTGAACAACACTACCGTATCTGATCAAAAATAATTTTGTTAAACAGATCTACACATGTCATGTAAAAAAAAACCTTCCAAAAATCCTCTATCCGCCCCTGTCCCCCGCCAAGTGTGTAAGAGGGGAGGGGCGAGGGTCGGCTTTTCATCCATAGATCCCCCCCTCAAATAATCCTGGATCCACCCCTGCATACACCTACGTACATTTGATAGCAATCCATTAAAAAATAAGGTTTACCAGGGGAAAACGCTATGTTGTTGTTCATACGCAATCGCAGCCGGCAATTTCAAAAGGGGGCGTCTTTTTTTCTGAAAAGGAAACCTAATCAAATTTTACCCTGAGAGGACTTATTTCCATCAAAAAATGGCGATTCGGGTCTGAATCGATATATTCTGTCCGAAATAATTTATCTTGATTTATTGTCGCCATATGTTAATCATGTCTGGGAGTAATGGTGTACGTATAACGGTAATTTACAGGGGGTGTATCGACGTGGGGATCTATCAATGTAGGGTCATAACGATGCGAGTTGTGCAAAATTTTACGGGGGGGGGGGGGGGGTTCGTTACGGGGCAGTATGTGTGCATGGTCGTATCGATTCATGTTTAAACTTAAAAGTTATCGGTAAAGTATCTAATGAATGATTGGGACACTTTAACTTTTAATTTATTGAGGAGGTGTATTTAAATCACACTACTCAAGTTTGTAGAATGTTTATGCCATTTCAACATTTTTATTGAAATATGATTGTAATGGTGCCTGTTAATCGTGACACAGTGACGGATAGGCCTATAATGCATGCATGGTACATAAAATCACTTGCGGGGATTTGAATTGCAACACTTTAATAAGTACAGTTTGTAAAAGCAATAATTAAATATTCCATACTCATGTAAACAGTGAAATAGGTAAAACATTACCACGGTGTACAAAACTAGACTTAAAATGCAAAGGGGAGACTGAAACAATGGAGACAACCAACTACTTTCTTGAGGACACGTGTCCATTGCTAGTTCATCTCAACATCCCTACTATTATACGCTGTGTGTAATGCCTGAATTATTTAGATTTCAAGTCAAATGAATTATATCTATTCAGCCTCTTTTTTCAAACAGTCTGCACATTTGGTCAGATTTCCATGTCAATAAATAAAAAAATTAATAGATATATATAACTACGGAAAACAATTGTAAAGAGGAAAAATGATCCCCTGATGTTTAGTGGATGTCTTTTCGCACAAACAATAAATCTTGTCCGAGTGGCTGTACTTCTTTATACATTCCGGTTCTATTAAATACCTCTCTAATATCTCTTAACGCTTGAGTATAGTTTTTTGTGAGTTGATGAACTTCGACTGTCCACATATCAACCGTTATTTTATCCCAAGGAAAAGCTTGAAGCACATTCAGTTCCACCCCCTCTACGTCCAGGGAAAAGAAGTCCACGTGCGTTCTACCCATGGCGCCTAAAAGCGTTTGAATCGGCAGGCACAGTATTTTTCTCTTTCCTGTAATAGCAATGCGTTTATTTATTGGGTCGATGGCTCCGCTGTCTAAGCTGCTGGACAGCGCGAAGTCCACCCACATGGGCTTATCTGTGATGCAAGACTGGACTATTGTTGCCGCCCTGAAATGAAAGTGTCACGTATTTAGATGTTACTCGGTAAAATATTAAATACATTTTAGCAGTGACCAGTCTAAGACCCTGTTCCCATACCTAGATCGATGTAGCAGGATTGACCCATCTCTGAGGGGTTTTCTCGCAAAACTGCATTCTGCTTATATTGCTTAGATAACTTGCACGGCCACTGAAGCTGCTAAAATAGTTTATTACCCCCTAACGTCTTCACTGGGCGTGCTAGACATTAGAGCCGCTTAAGCTGAATGCAATTTAGCTAGAAATCCCTTGGAGATGCGGTGATCTTGCTAGGTCGATCTAGGTATGGGAACGGGGAATACAGCTGGAGAAATGGGTCCCATGAAATGCACGAGTCGACGCAGAGAATCGTGCAATGAATATACAGGATAGAGGACCAGCAGGTCCAAACATTTATTATCTCCACAAATTTACCAAATAATACCCATAATGAAACTGCACAGTGGCATCTACGATATTGCAACGGCCTACGAGTTTACGACTTAATTCTTTCTCAAGAAAGTTTCAGCTTGACAAAACCGCAGAGGCTACAGAGGCCATGAAGCCCTGCGATTTCGCACGACCACCGCCTGCCTCCGCCTTTACGGGCATTAATATTAACATACCTGTTTTTCATGACAAGTTCCTCAAAATTTCTAGGGTCGGGTTCAACCAGTATCCCGGTCCAATTACGTGATATTTCAAAAAACAATGAGTTGCTGTCCGTCTCTCCATCCCAGGCACCGGCCTCCACAAAGAACCCGTCGAGTTTTTGGCGCAGACATTTATCGACCACTTTACTTTGTCCGCTATGGGAAAAATGAACTGCGTTGGGCGTTGTGAGATTCCGAGGCCTCTTAGACGGCGCATACAGCAGTCTACGTTTCACGAACTCCAGGAGCCTAGGATCTAGCGCTTCCACTGTCCCTGAGAGGAGATCTTGAAAAACATCTATTTCCGCATCGCTACTTCTGTTGGTGTCAAAAATGGAGGCAGGTTTCCGACTGTTGGAGACGTGGTTGAGGTAAAAATTCAGAAGTATCAGTGCAGTGGCAGTGGCAAACACACACTCCAAAAGGAACCTTCCCGCGGTTTTCATTTCCTACAAAAAAATATTATATTGATAGAAGTTGAGCTGTGTAGTAGTGTTACTCATAATGATGAATATTTAAACAGTTCATTTTCAACACAATTTAACTGAAAGCATACCTGGAAAAGTTTCGTCCCAACACTTCGGACTTCATCAGTTACGCTGAATTTACGCTACAGTGTATAGTGAACAGTCAAGTGAGAACTGTTCACTATAACACTGTCCCAAATGTAAGACAGTTTGCGCCTACCCCGTCCTTGTTTAGCTCATACATGACCAGAACCTGATTTCAATTCACACCATCCACAGGAGCATACAAATTCAGTGTTGTTAAAACTCTACACCACAGGGCAGGGCAAATCACATCGGAATTCACATAGCTAGGTAAAGAACTGAACCATGTGAATGGTGCATTGGAAAGATGTCACAATCCACACTGGGCAATTAGTAAAATCTCCAACAGTTTCCTATCTATTCCCATAGATTTTAGATCGATCTATCCCCGCGGGGAGTCTCACTAGATTACTTTCAGATAATCCGACTTAAATGTCCGTCCCGCCTACTACAAGCTGTAAGGGGGTAATTAACTTTCGTGTACGCCCGGCTGACAGCTATTTAGCGTGAACCCCCAGGGAGTTAGGTCGATCTAAAGTAGGTCGATCTAATCTATGGAAATGGGGATGCTAGAGTTCAATGCTAGGAGCTCGATAGTAATTCCGTATGAAAAGGGAAGGTCTGAACATCTGAGGCGCATTTTCAAAAAACATAAAGACAACGTCAGCTTTAAACCACGTCAGACGCTGAAGGAAAATGCTTTGCCGCCCTAAGGATAAAACTTACGAAAAGGACTTCAGAGGGGCCCACATTCAAAATTTTATACAAAAGACATGAGGGCGCTGGGTGGAACCAAATATGCATAGGCGAAACTGAGAGGTCTTTACAGGCTAGAGTGAGTTAACGGGGACGGATCCAGAGATAATTTCTGACAGTCTTCCAAATTTACTTTGTTGATCCATCCTCAATTTTTGACCGTCTTCCGACAGAAAAAATAAATAAATAAAAATTAGATGCCCATCAATGTAAACTTGACAAATCTGACCGTCTTTCGGAAGACCCAGAAGACGGCCTCAATCCGCCCCTGGTTAAGGAACACCGAAAACCAAGTTGTTCCAACACATCTGAGGTTTCACAACACATCAACGTTGAGGCACCTGATCACACCATCATTTGAGACAATGTGGAGATCTTGAACCGTGACGTGAAAGAAGATGTGCACATTTGGGCCCACAGACCGTCACTTAACAAGGACTAAACTGGGAAAGTGTTATAGTGAACAGTTCTCACAAAACCGTTCGCTATACACCAAAGAGTTCTCACAAAATTGTGAGGACTCCTTGCTATACGCTGTCACGAAACTTCAGTGTGACTGATGAAGCCTCAAGTGTTGGGACGAAAGCTTTCCAGCTAGTATGCTTTCAGCTTATTTTATAGAAATTCAACAGTTTTAAATTTCATTATATTATATTATATTATATTATATTATATTATATTATATTATATTATATTATACATTTAAGACTACCTACAAACAAGCGATTAAAGATCGTCAATCGACCATGCAGTTACAACTGCAACCTTCTGGCGACCTGTTACCGACTTTTTGCGGCCGGTTAGAGATTTGATAGCGACCAAGCGACTGAAGACTGCCAATCAACCGTGCAGTTGCAAGTAGTATGTTTTTTTTGTGTTTGAGAACAGATAAAGCTAGTAATTTTTTAAGTTGCTAGACTCAAGTTGGTTAAGCCCACTAGAACAAACAATTCTTCCGCTCGCGTAGTTTATTAAAATTTTTTTAATTAAATGGGCCTATGTATATTGAGAATGAGTGACAACTGATAGCTCAACATGCCACCCCTGTGAGACGACACGGTCATCATTAGCGTAACCCTACTAAGTAACTCATTAACTTTCAGACCTAGCGAAAGGTGGGCATTCCTAAAGCACGATGTTTACCAAATGAACAAAATACGCGCACGCACATCAGTCATTTGACCAGTTAACAAGTCATTTATCAAAGGGCACTGGCCCAAGTTTGCTACAACATGCGTGTAATTTTTTGGGGGGTCTGTTTTATACATGTACTGCTTACGTAAGCCATCCACAAAATAAGATCAAAGGGGTTGGTTTTTGCCAAAAAAAATGGCACGAAGAGTCATATGAAGGGGGGGGTCGGCGAGGGGGGTGTGAGGGATCACTTTCATATACTTTTCATACTTAGGGCGCATTCCCATGGATTTTAGATCGATCTATCCCCGTGGGGAATCTCACTAGATTACTGTCAGATAATCCGGCTTAAATGTCCGTCCCGCCTACTACAAGCTGTAAGGCGGTAATTAACTTTCGTGCCCGCTCGGCTGACAGCTATTTAGCGCGAACCCCCAGGGAGTTAGGTCGATCTAGTTGGATCGATCTAATCTCTGGGAATGGGGTCTTAGGCTCCATTATATGATTTGTGATGGATACTGAAAGCATTCTACCCTGTATTTGTATTCAAGGTCTGATAGAAGCAGTTTGAAATCAGGTATACTCATTAAAAGTTTTCTACAATATTTGTCTTTTTACTTAGAGGATTATTAGGTACAGAAGTTCACTATTACAGGTTCCGTCTACAAGGAGCTGTAATTGAACGTGCATTTCCCAGGTATACTTAGTTTAAGCTTTTACTTTGCCTTTTCCTCTTCAAAGTCTATCCAAATCTGCCCAACACTTATCCAACCAAAAAAAGATGCCAAAAATTTTCTCCGTCAATATTTCAAAAGATACATAATTGAGAAAGTTTGCAGTGTGTTCTGTGGAAATGAGTATTTGTCGCTATAATCCGAAATTTGATACATGGCAATTCGATATCAAAAGTTATCTAAAGCGGTTAAATAAAAATCTTATCCCCCATTTTTCTATAATCTAACTGTTGACATAATACGTTCATACGTTTCATTTGTTAATTACTTACTTTTTACATTCGAGAGTACCATAGTAAATTACAACAAAAAAGATGGGACAAGTAAGATTTCGGAAATATTTCTCAAAATTTTAGCGTCGGTGCCGAGACTCCGAAAGTCACTTTATTTTGTGGAATGGCCAATTGCATGACAACATTAGCATGCATCATTTTATCCAGAATTTAAAGGAATCATCTAATATACTTATAAACCCTCTTCTGTAAATATCTCACCGTTAAGATTTTTGAAAATGCTGCGGTTTTATGAACTGTCTTGAAGGATTTAACTTTAAAAAAAGATTCAGATGAAGTAAGCTTTGAAAAATAAAGTGGCCTGAAAAACCAAGTAGTCATAGTAGCAGTAGCCCTACTCACATGTTAGACTATATGTAGTGAAAAAAACATCTATGTTGTGCAGTTCTTTCACAATACACACTATCCCACTATGGTGAATTCAGTGAATTACATCGGCCTGCGACTGGTGTTCTTCTTTGAAGAGCTTATTAACTGTCACTATCTCACTATCTATTGGTACTACGTGTTACATACCAACAGGCATGCAAGTGGAACTGGTATGTCTTTAATCACCTGAAATATACTGGAGTGTTGAATGTACACCGTGGTAAAATATATATATGAATTACACTTGCCATGCGATGTCCGCACGGCGCTCCACTGCCCGTACTTCAAGTCCCTTTTACAATGAAAAGCGACCTGCGAATCACGTGCGTCCACTCTACGACCGAAAATGTGGCCAAGACGCTCAATGGTAACCAAAGCAAGAAAATCGTGTTTCGGTGTAAATGCTCCTGCGACCAGTCCATCTGCATCCTTTGAACGACCAAATCTGGATTATCCTGTATGACAACGAGCGACCTGCGCGTCCAGTGAACGACTTGTCTGCCTCCCCTGTGCGTCCTCTGTGCGTCTTCTGTGCAACCTACGCAGCACATTATATAACTATCAGTACTACTAGTCGAGTCGNCTACTCGACTATACGTGTTACATACCAACAGGCATGCGTGTGGCACTGGTATGTCTTTTATCACCTGAAATCTACTGGAGTGTTGAATGTACACCGTGGTAAAATATATGAATCTGAATTACGCTTGATATGTAGTACAGACCGCAGAAAATTTCTGATGAGTGTAATTATTTTTAATTGGGTCGCGGGCATGTGCACGCGGCTCGTATTTGTAATGTAATTGTTCCTATCACTTTGATTGGTTCCAGTCAACTTTATTTGTCTCACTTCATTACAACTTATCTAACGTTACGCTAATTAGCTGCAACGCGGTCTGTCACGCCAATACTCGAGGTACAAAACCAGGCAGCGACCTAGAAATAAACAGAGATTTTACATTTTATAACCAAGCTGTGGTGTTGTGTTGCTTTTCTCTCCAGGCATAACCCAAGTCGGGAATCGTGGACCAAACCTTGAATCTTCAGTAGACTGATTAAAGCCCTTGGAGTAAAATATACCCCGCGGTATCTGTAAGAACGCAGTACAATGCGATGTGCGCACGGTGCTGGTATACTGTCCGCACGTGCGTCACCCCCACACCTGGTGTATAAAAGGCTTGCTCACGACGCACGCTCGTGTCTTTACAATGAACGTCGACTGTGTATCGTGTACAACAATTTTCAAAATTTTCAACTTTTTGCTCAATTTAGTTTCTAATATGCCTCCAAAAGGCAATAGAAAGAAGCTTACATAGTAGAAAAAAGGGAGAAGGAAGAAGCAAGAAGAGGAGAACAGGAAGCAAAACTGACGTACGCCGTCAGTACGTCACAAACAAACGTGTGAGGCAAGTGTGAAGCAAAACTGACGCAAAAGGGCACTACGTTCGCAGTGCGTTGCATTCCCTTCGTAAGAGGTGAGTGTGTGCCACGTACACAGAAAACAAGACAAACTCAAGAAATTAGTACAATTTCTACGGCCATCGCTCCTTGCAATTAGCGTCACTGCTTGAAAGGAAATCTCATGTGGCCCTTGCCACTCGCAAGGCAGACTTTCCTCTACCTCTACGACCTCCACGGCCTCCGCAACACCCAAAAATCGCAGGGGACGTACGATCTTGAAATTCGTGCGTCCGGTTGTGACCGGGGCTTTACACTGAAAGGCGACCTTCGTGCGTCTCATCTGCGACCGAAAACGGGACGCTCAGTGGTCACCAAAGCAAAAAAATCGTGTCTCGGTGTAAATGCTTCTGCCACCAATATCTGTATCCTTTGAACGACCAAATCTGGATTATCCTGTATGACAACGAGCGACCTGCGCGTCCAGTGAACGACTTGTCTGCCTCCCCTGTGCGTCCTCTGTGCAATCTACGGCGTCCAATGCTATTAAAGACGAAGCAGGCGTAGGAGCAATCGTCGAGCATCCTCATTGCGTTCTTTGTACCATCATCGGCGACTAATGGCGAACAGCGGCTATCATTCTACAATCTTTCTGCCTCCTGCGAAACCGATGAACGTAATTTGGGCATCCTTTGACGACTTTTGCTTCGACATACTCTGGCTCTTTTATATTTTTTCATTAGTTCTAACCTGGGCAGCCAATTATAAACATCCCCAGAAAATAAATAATTGGAAGTAAAGAGTTTGTGGGTATTAGAATAAGGTCAACAATCACAAATGCTTCTACATTTATGTCACTTTTCAGAGCAGCAGCAGAAACGATTTTTTTTAGAAAGCATTTTAGTGCGGTCTTACTAGCTAAGCATGTAAGAAATCGGTCAAATTAAAGTATCGGTGAACCATATTGGGATAGCTGGTGACCTTCTTTTCTGACGGATTTAGGGGTGTCAGGGGGGTCCTGACCAATTTTTTCATTGATTGGTAATTCATTCTGTCAGTAGTGTCAAACTTTTCAGTCAAAGACTGGGTTCCCACAGATTTAGATCGATCCATCTGGATTGACCTAACTCACTGGGGGTTCACGCTAAATTGCAGTCAGCCGAGCGCGCACGCAAGTTAATTACCCCCTTACAGCTTTTAGTAGGCGGGAGAGACATTTAAGCCCGGTAAGCTGACAGCAATCTAGTGAGACTCCCCACGGGGATAGATCGATCCAAATCTGTGGGAATGCAGTCAAAGACGTAATACCCACAAATGGTTACATTTCATCTGTAAGTGGCCCATTTTCCTTGAAATACTATTTTCGCCTCTTGGTCTTTGTACCCCCACCGTTACTCGCGGACAGGGGGGACTCATGCTATTATTTATTTATTTATTTATTAGGTCAAAAATGACACGAATACTTATGTCAGCATGTGAATCTTTAATTTAACTAAAAAATTATAAATACTTTGTGAGCAATCCTGCACCTTTGATGAACATTACTGTGTCCAGTATAACATCGGATATCAGCTGGGCGGCCATCTTTGCCAGTCATTTTCTTAGAAACACTGTACTCTGTTGTCTTTGTAGGACATATAATTATAACAGGAAATATAAGTCTTTTTACAGTAACAAAATGGATCATTATTACTGTTGTCTGAAAATTGCTATTTTCTATGGCACTTTCTGGCACAGGCTCATATCTAAGTTGCATGCATATGCTGTTCATAAAGCCTGGAGCTATTTAGTTTTCAAGATCCATTAATTTTATCTAGATGCAATAAATTCATTCGGCATCCTATTTTAAATAGTCTTTACACATATTGTCAGATTGTCCTGGCAAAAATATAGAAGAGCTATACAGAAATGAAATAATAAAACATCCCTGATCTTTAGTGGATGTCTTTTCGCACAAACAGTAGGTCTTGTCCGAGTGGCTGCAATTCTTTATACATTCCGGTTCGATTAAATACCCCTCTAATATCTCTTAACGCCTGAATATAGTTTTTTGTGAGTTCATGAACTTCGACTGTCCACATATCAACCGTTATTTTATCCCAAGGAAAAGCTTGAAGCACATTCAGTTCCACTCCCTCTACGTCCAGGGAAAAGAAGTCCACGTGTGTTCTACCCATGGCGCCTAAAAGCGTTTGAATCGGCAGGCAAAGTATTCTGCTCTTTCCTTTAATAGCTATGCGTTTATTTATTGGGTGGATGGCTCCGCTGTCTAAGCTGCTGGACAGCGTGAAGTCCACCCACATGGGTTTATCTGTGATGCAAGACTGGACTATTGTTGCCGCCCTGAAATGAAAAGTACCATGAAAACCTTGGGTATATGTATGGCCCCTTTCAAAAAAAAAAAAGTACCAACAGTAGGTTCAAATATTAAAACGATCACTGCAAATCCACCGAACAATGCCTGGTCGGGAACTGTGCAATGCCACGTATGATACTTCTGTTTCACCTTGATAAAATCGCAGAGGCTACGGAGGCCGTGAAGACCTGCTCGACAACCGCCTGCCTCTGCACAGACGGATCACGAAGAAAGGGATTTACAAGGAGTTTGTATAGCAAGTACACCGCATTACAAATGTATGTAACCAGGCCTACGTAACTGCAAGACCATTAAAATTAACATACCTGTTTTTCGTGACAAGTTGTTCAAAATTTCTAGGGTCGGGTTCAATCAGTATCCCGGTCCAATTGCGTGATATTTCAAAAAACAATGAGTTGCTGTCCTTCTCTCCATCCCAGGCACCGGCCTCCACAAAGAACCCGTCGGGTTTTTGGCGCAGACATTTATCGATCACTTTACTTTGTCCGCTATGGGAATAATGGATTGCGTTGGGCGTTGTAAGATTCCGAGGCCTCTTGGACGGCGCATACAGCAGTCTACGTCTCACGAACTCCAGTAGCCTAGGATCTAGCGCTTCCACTGTCCCATAGAGTAGATCTTGTAGAACATCTATTTCGGCACCGCTTGCGTCAAATATGGAGGAAGGTTTACGAATTTTGGCGCCGTGGTTAACGTAAACGTTCAGAAGTATGAATGCAGCGGCAGTGGCAAGCACACATTCTAAAAGGAACCGTCCCTTGAGCTTCATTTTCAACTAAAAATATAAAAATTATATTATATTATATTATATAATATTATATTATATTATATTACAATAAAAGCCCATATAAATTTTTTAAAGTATTCAGTGCCCATAGTATGAATGTTTTTGAAGATAGTACAGTTCACAAATTCAGTCCACATTATGTTTGGGTGCGCTTTAGAGTTTAGATTTTCTTATTTAATTCTATTAGTGTATGTAAATGATTGATTTTGTGATGTATAAGCATATTGTGGAGAAGTGATTTAAATAGCTCATCCGACCGAATTCCTAGATAAGGATTTTACATTCTCGTTTTTGAACTGTTATTTATTATTTTTTGTAATATTCGGGTCCCATACTTGGTTCGTTGTTGTTTTATCCTTCTCTTGAAGAATCAAATGTATTTCCTTGTTTTTGTTTTAACAATGTTTCTGGAGATAAGCATTGTGAAATCGCCCACATGCTTGAAGTCATTTATCATAATAACAAAAGCGCTGGTCCAAATTTGATAGAATATGCGTATAATTTTGTTAGGTTCTGCTTTATACATGTACTACGTTCCCAAATTAAGTTTGAAGGAGGATTTGGAATTTATCTCTGAATGATACAAAGGAACATTTGAGGTGACGCAAAGGTAGGGGGATGACCCCCTTTCCACGTTGAATACTTTCATATACTTTTCAAATACAGGCCTTATGAAATGAATTGTGGTGGACACTGAAATCATTCTACTGTAAGCTTCGATTTTATGTTCACAGATCGAGAAGAAGTGAGCAACAAGAGTCTTGGATTTCTAAACAGCTTTATTGCCACTGCATATATTCTCCACATCCTCCCACCACGTCCTATTTATATCTCGCTCTTTCTTCATGTCCAATTGAAATATAACCTTATAATATTACTCTTTTTTGTCTTTCTAATTTAGGCGCGCGTTATCCTAGGGGGCGTGGGACATGCTATAATGTTGCTTTCATTGTTACTTTTAATCTTTATTTTTTACACAAGTCGCGATGACGCAAATTTATGTACGGGGCATCTTTAAACTTCAAAACTTATTTGCCGTAAACTGCTCCTTTTTGAAAATGCTATTCGCTGTGGCTTTCTTCAAAGGTTTCTCGCCAGGCCGTCAGAATGGCCTAAACGGAGCATATTCTTCAGAAAACATGCCCAGGTAATGATATATTTATCAAAATACACAAATTTGGAGGTAATTTTGTAAATTTTGAGCTTCAAAAAACCTCCCTTTCAGCTAGGTCTGGGAGTAAATGAGCTAAGTGGTCACGTGGTCCGGTGACGACAATCATACCACCGGAGGTGAGCCAGTTCAGTAAGCTGTCAAACTGAGCTACCATTATCTACCTGCAAGATGGCTTCAAACTACTGATAAAATTATACCCATTCACCTCTCTAACCGGAGGGGTTTATATCCTTGCTAAGCCAGGTGCCTGTCTATTCAATGATCTAACTAGCATTTAATTACGGTTATCCCAACCAGTGTAAAATACTACATTCGAATGACTTGAGGGTATGTTGATCATACACTATGTGGTCCATGTTATTTGTGAAATTCAATTCAATTTATCAATCCCTTGAGCCCTACGGCTCATCAGAATGAAAATGCAGTAAAATATATATAAAGTCATAACAACAACAACAATACAACTACTACTACAACTACTAATAGTAATAATAAAAACTCATCAGACTGACGTTAGTTTTAACTCCGATGCACATTTTAAGTTCTTACCTAAGCTGTTTAATTGTGAAAACAATTTAATTAGCTTGAAAACACTTTGCTTTGTGTAATAAAATTTTTGATGTATTTCTGCCCAATCGTTCGGTAGCAAGGACATTTAAGAATAAAATGAAATTCTTCCTCGATGTCATTTAAATGCAAACTTTACAGGTGCTTAATTTTTGTATGTGTCTGTTTACCTTCCAGTTTTTACAGCTAGATTGTGTGATGAAAGACTAAATTTGGCAATTAATTCCTTATATTTATGTGAAATTGGCTTATTTAAACAGAATTGCACTGTAAAATTATCAACAACAGTCAACAGTCCTTTACTCCTTTAGGGTATTTCCCCGGTCAATGTTTGTCTAAAATCATCTTTCACTCTTTGCTCTTTCAAGGACAGTATAAAATTATCTGACATATTTCCGTGAAAAATAAATGACAAGCCAACTGTCTCCAGTCCATTCCGTACTAACATTACCCGATCAAAAATTTTGTTAAGCAGATCTGTATAGCAAGCTGTTATATAATACAATTTTTCGTGGAGTGGAAAAATCTATTTCCCGAATTTTGAAGATTCAGCACTCAATCTATACACTAGAGATATGTTTTAATCGATTCCCACCATTCAAAAAGTGTAAAAACAATCTATGAGTAGAAAGAAAACATTTGTGTTGAACGTGGTTGGGCAATATTCGTTACGCCTCGGTGTGTTTCCGTGAGATTCACCCAAAAAACATTCCTATTTTATGAGTGTCTACTTTGAGAGACGCCTTGATTTAAGGTAGGCAAAAAATTTCCCTAATAATGTTATACTGCTTATACTCATTATTATATATTCATTACAGGAGTTTGTCCCGGGTGCTGTTTTAGTCTATATTTTTGAACAAATTTCATTAGTTTTATGATAGGCAAGCAAAGTATTGTAGTCAAGCAGTACCTACCTTTTGTCGACTGTAGAGCTCTGTGTCTATCTGCATAATCTACGTCTGGCCATCCATTGTATTATATGAAGTTATCTTGCTAAAGGCGAACAGCATTTTAATGGTGAAAAACCAGCTTAAGGGCAGAAAAAATTATCACTGATGTCGGCCCTTTAAATCATATTTGCATACAACAGCCAGTAAATTTAAATGCTGAAGTCACAAATTTATCAATGGTGGTTTTCCCTTCTGCGTCTATATCTGGCCATATACTATTTTATATCACGTTATCTTGCTAAAGACGAACATAATGCTTAACGCAGATCGAACCATACTCATGAGCTGTATCATCATCAACATTGGGTGCTATCCACTCTCAACAGATTGGCTGTCATGGATGGCCATGCCTCTCGATCTTGTGCAATCCCTGTGCATTCGCTATATATTTTTGATTGGAACGTATTTTTTATGTAGTCCGTCCATGTTGCTCTGGGTCTTCCTTTCTCACGTTTCACATACAACTTTCCTTCCTATAACAACCGCTGAAAAGCATCTTTTCTAATGCCATGAGTACAGAAATAAAATGTCTGTTCTTCATAGTGTTCAATAACGAACTTCTTATTTTTAGATTATTTAGTCCATAAAAGTTTCAGCATCCTTCTATAACGTTTCACAGGCGAAAACAGGCGGAAGGCGGTAGGAGGCAGATTGCACGATACGCCCAAGGTACGGAATGATCTCCAAAACAAGGCAAAGGAAGCTCATACTGAATTTGAAAAGTAAATTGATGCACGTGAATTTACCAAGATCAACTGGGTCTGTAAAACGAAGGTAAAAATTGTAAACTTATATGAAATTTTGATGACATAAAGTCTCCGATAACGGAGCAGAGTAAGCGCAAATACTCAGGAGTGACAACTGATCGGGTGCACTACATAATAGCCTAGCATTACCTCTACACGTAATTGCCCTATACCATTCGCAGTCACAGTCAAGTGGATTTGTAGTCATGGGCTAAAAGGGAAAGAAAAGAAAGATAACTAGACTGCAACTGGCTGAAGCCAGTGGCGGAGGATTCCCCTGAAAAATAAGTGTGGAAATGCTTTCGTCAATCAGTAAAAGATATTGTGTAATGGTTTATTGACCTAATGACCCCTTGACTTAATTTTGAGTTATGTTAACAAACTATTCTACGGCAATACAGGTATATCTGTATAATATTAGGTACATGTATCTGGAAGTAAGACATAGGCAAAAATGACAAATGTAGAGAAATTGGCCTTTGAACTTGAAGGCAATGGACACTTACAAGGTCATGTGAAGGTCACAGGTTAAATTTGACACCATATTCTGAAATAGCATGTGCGAATTTGGGGGGGGGGGGGGTAGTCAACAAAACATCACTTTAAGCCCACTTCAATATTTCTCCATGAGATAGCCAAATGACCTTGAATGTGAGGGTCAAGGTCAAATTTGACATTTGATTTGGTGGTTTTGGGTAGTTAACTATAGCATGCTATGACCTAACACCAGTATTTCATGGAGAAATTGCCAAAGTCACGATTTCTGAAATGTCATAAATATTAAAAAATCTATATTTAAAAAAGGGATTAGGCAGTCGCTATGAAAGTTTGGCTAACCTTAGATAAATATATAGGGCATCATTTGCTACTAAGATCAGGGCTCTGGGCCTTATGGTTTTTGAGATCTCGGAAACAAACCCGTTTTGAGCCGGTTTGGCCATTGGCGACGTTGACCTACTTGCACAAAAGTAGGTCAATATCTGGGGATTTAGCTCAGTATCATTGGCCATAAGGCCCTTAGCCATATAGCTGGGGCCGTAGCGATAGTCCGAAGGTTCAATAGTCCGAAGGTTCATTGGTCCGAATGTTCACTATAGAACCTTCGGACCAATGAACCCTTGATTAAAAAATCGATAAAAATGTTACCGCTTTTCGGACCAATGAACCTTCGGACCAATGAACCTTCGGACTATCGAGACGCCCCCATATAGCTTATACTTTAGGCCTAACGGCAATTTCAAATTTTACAAATTTTGCCTTTAAAAGCCCCTGTGACCAGGGAGTGGATTCCATTGTGCACCTATATGTCAATTTCATGAGACTTTAAGATATATTTATATTAAAAAAAGAACTCAGGAATAAAGGGTTTATTCAGCTGTAAAGTAACAGAATGTGCTCACACCAATAAGTATTGATCAATTCCTGTCCCTAGAAATTTACAAGTTTAAATATGTATAAAATAGGGCAACAATAAAGTGCAAACATAGAGACTGATAACAATATAATGTACACTGGATTCTGTACAAAAATATATCTTTTATCATCACAGATTTGAACAGATTTCTTTTTTTTTAAAATCTTTCACCACTTCTAAATTTGACACCTCATTGCAAACTAAGTCCTTAAAAACAGATATTGCAATATTTACACACTCTTATCTCTTCTTGTAAAATCTTAAAAGCATTAATTTCTGGACTACATAAATTTTCGCTTGCACAGATCAGATTAAAACTGACCTTATAATTACTGGTAATTGTAAGCACTGGTCACGCAAACCAGTTATACACATGTAGCACCTGTTAATAAAACTAGAACAAAATGTTTAGCACCAGTGAAACATACATATGAATCACTAAAGAAAGGAAAACATTTATCTGCAATTGTGGCAATTAAGCTGCCCATGCAAACAGTTACAATTATTACTGAAACATTTTTCAACAGTAATACTACACATCTGTAATAAGAAATTGTTTTTTGGGGAAAATCCATCTACATATTATGTGATAAATGACCATTGTCCCGAAGAAACAGAGCTAATAAACTTACATGCAATCACAGAATAATGATGCCTGAAAATGAAGGCGTGCAATATTTCAAAATATGCATATTGATAACAAAATGCGTACAAATTGCAGCCACGATATTGTCACTTATGGAATCATCTCTGCTGTCTTTTGACCCAAGATCTAATTGCATGAATAGCACCACATGGCCCAACCCTAACAAATAACCTAGAAATGAAAGTTTTTGTAAATGTGCTGAGGATGTGACTATCACAAAATTACTCCGATACCCAATTTGAAATTTGGTATTTTTAAGACTGAAAACTTAGTCTACTTTTGTCTCAGTTAAGACAGCTTCTCTAAAACAGACTATTCCACCTCTTTTATGAAAGGTAAGAAACGGCTGACATCATAGATAAACTATTTTTTACCATATATGTAAAATGGCTCATTTTCTCAGATAACTGGAAACACTGATGAAAGATCACAGCTGTTATTGGATTGTATATTAGATATATCCTACAACAAGTCAACCGCCATTACTGCACGCTTTCTGCTCTGTCTGGAATATTCTATCATTCATCATATCCTTCAAACAAATTTCCTTCTAGTAATTGCTGTGAACCTGCCCTCAGTGCAGGACAGTCCTATGCTACCTCCTCTTGTCACACATTCTGTTGATTAGTATTTCTGAATATGCAGTATTTATTTCACCCTCCACGTGGTATCGAATGGGGGATGATATACCCTGGCCTGTTTGCCGTTTTCTTCTGTCCCTGATTTCTGTTACCTGGAAAAATAGTAAATTGTGAAAAAGATTAGCAGTGGCGGATTTAGGGGGGTGTCAGGGGGGTCCTGACCCCCCCCCCCCCACCTTCGATTTCTGCTACCTGAAAACATAGTAAATGGTGAGAAAGATTAGTATCATTTTGGTAATGAGGTGTGTGTGTGTGTGTGTGTGTGTGTGTGTGTGTGTGTGTGTAAGGAGGTAGTTTAAAAATATTTCCACATAACATAATAATTAAATATTTAGCCACAAAACATTGCAGAAACCAAAGTAACTGCCAGGCATATTCTACTAAATACAAACTGATCTTTATTAAATCATTCAAATTGAACTATATCCTGTATAACATCATAAATATTCAATGCTTACCCTATGAAAGTGACAGGCACACCTTCCCTGGAGAAATTCTTTGAATCTTGAAACTGTCATAGCAAAAGTGTCCACCACATCGTAACCAAGAGACTTGGCTGACTCCATTAGTTCTTCGTTGTGTTTTACCTGCTTCCTCTGCTCTTCCTGGAGTGATGAGAGTGATGAATTGTTTTTTATTTATAAAAAAAAAACTGCAAGAAGTATGCTAAAATGCTTCGCATCATGTTATAGGATAGGAAAACAAAACAGAAACAACAGAAAAAAATTAAATTATAGTCAAAATTGTACTGATTGCTCTACTTAAAGTGATAACAAGGTTTATGTTGTTATTTTGTGGAGAAAAAGAGATGCATGAAAAAAATCTCACATACTTAATTAGTGAAATACCGAAAGCCTATCACATGGCATATCTAGTATGTGCAGAAACAGAAGTAATAGTTACATGTATCACATACCAGTGACAGACACATCAGTCCCTCTACCTTGAGGTGGAAACCAGAACCAAGGCCCTTGATAATGACCTGGATACCAGTCCATCCCTCCCTGAAGTTACAAACAATCAATATATTACATGCTTTAAACAGTCTAAGGGGCACAATGCACTTTAGACATTTATATAGGAGATAAAAAATTCTGCAATTTTCTGCAATTAACCTTCATCAGCAAGACACTTATATCCAAAACCATTGCTAAAATTTGTTTGGTATGGAATTTTTACCTTCATGAGTGAAATTCACTATTCTTTTTTATTATTATGAGAGAGAATCAAAAACAAGTAACTAAAAATATTTATGGAATGTTTTTTTTTTTTTTTGTCAGTGGATTCAGATATGTTACACCAGTTACTAAGTGACTGGGGGGAAAATTTGTTGAAATTTCTTGAAAAAAATGTAATTCTTTTGGTATATAAATACCCAATATCTTCAATCTGAAAATGAACTTACCTGTCCAAAAAGTTTTTTAAAACACTGAGGTGGTGAGCTCCCAACCACTGCACTCCGCCTACTACCAGCACTGTGGAGCTGCTGTTATCAATGGCTTCTGATCTGGAACACAAGACATCTTATTAAAATCAGTAAAACTATATAAATTCCATTTGTGTTGAGACAATTGTCACATTTAGAAACCTCTGTTTCTTGGAAAAATCAAAACAAGATGATAATCTTGTAGGAGTCAAAGAGTAAAATTCAAAATATATCCTCTTGTGCCATTGCACTGATATCTCAACACAATATTTAATAATTTTTAATGTTCTGTATTTTAATGATAAAAAAGTTAACAATATCTCAAGAGACAAAACATATTTTATAGCTTATGAGGATTAGGATTTCCATATTTTAAAAACTCATTACACCACTTCTGATTATTGCTTCTTGTTTACAATTAACGGATTGCCACACCCTACCTTTTAAACAATTGATACAGTGCCTTCTCAAAGACTGGCCTCCTTGCAGTGGGGAGCCAGAACTGAGGGTAGTAAGCAAAACTGACCATGGTACTGTTGTTGTTAATGTTGCTGTAAACTTTAATATTGTGTGTCTTGTCCCACTCTGACAGTGACCCATTAATCTGTTCCATGATGTAGTGCATCATGCCTCTGTTGGTGGAGTCTCCTATAAACATGAGCTGAAAGTGAAAGTGAAACTGGTGCAGTAGTCAACTATGAATGTGAATGAAAATGAAAGTGAAACTTGTGCTGTAGTCCACTATGAATGTGAGCTAACAATGAAATTGAAGCTGGTGAAGATGTGTGAAAAAAGAAACTGGAGCTGTATTGCCCGATGAACATTCATGAGTGGAAAATGAGAGTGAAGTTGGAAGATGAAAGCGATACTGGTGGTGTTGTCTTCTATGCACGTGAGCGAAAAATGAAACTGGGTTTGTAGTCCTCTATGACTGTGAGCAGAACATGAAAGTGAAACTGGGCTGTAGTTCCCCCATGAACAGTAGAAACTGACTATAACATACCTTCTTTTTACTTAAACACTGTTTAACCTCCCCACGTGGTATGATATGGTGTCTGCAGGTGTCAGGTTGCCACACTGCTTGGCTCCAATCACAGCTGTTCTCATCATTACACTGACCACATGGTATATACCACACACCTGGGAAACACAACATGACATTTTCAAGTATTATTATTATTATTAACATTGTCATATTACTAAAACCGATCTGTACACCTGTTTGTAAGTTCTTTACTGTCACAATAGAAATTTACCAATTTCTAATTTCATTACGAGAGATTGACTCAAGAACTAGAAACTTGGAACACAAAAAGGGTTATATGGGTCACAATTCTGCGATCTCTTTTGAATATGGCTTATCTTTGGGATTAAGGAAAGTGTTATAATTTCAATAAAAAAATTAATTTATAATTAGTTGATATGAAGGTCTAATACCCAATGTGTTTATTTATGTTACCTGGAATGTATCAGTAAGTTACCTGTGTTGTCTCCAGTATGACAGTGTGGTAGTTGTGCCCTGTGTTGTTGGAATGTGTCCCAGCTGGTGTAGGCGGATGTCTGTACACCACATGGCTGGTCTGGGGCCAGGCCCAGGTCACAGTCCTGGAACAGACACAGGGTTCAAAGTAATATGGTTCATAACTGCGAGGAAAGACGTATACAGGCATGCACACAAACAAAAACATGGACAAGGAGTTAGAGATGATAAAAACCACACAGGATAGATAATACCCTAAATAATGAAAGGATGGTGATGTAGTGCATGAGAAAATTATAAATTTTTACTACTATATGTAACTAAGACTAAATTTTGCAAATACAAGAAAACAGAAACTACATAAAATATATACTGGCTAATAAAAACCAAATTAAAGAAAACAAATAAATAGCAGCAATATTCCAATAAAGAGAAAAGAACCCCTTGGATATGCTGAATCCACTGGAGCCTTAAACATCCCATAATATACCTGCTGTAGCTGGCAGGCAGCCTGCTGGTCACCCATCTTGGACTCCTGAACTCTCTCACTCCTGCTCTCCCTGTAGATGGTCAGTGTGTAGGAGTTGATGACCCAGGGTTCTGAGTGACCTATGTCCACCACATGGAATGTTACTCTATTGGAGCCAATGCCCAGGGTATAGTTCATGGGTCTGACAAAAATATATGCCAAAAATGATTATTTATTTAAAGTAAAAAGTATTCAAAGTTTTTGTATTTTATCTGTATATTAAATTCCATTTTAAAGTGAAAAGTCTAATAGGTACAACTGCTGATGGCATGTAGTTGACATATTCCTTTTTTTAAAGCATACATTTAGCCTCTCTGCTCACATGGACATTTTTAATACATTATTCAATATTTCAATATATCTAAACTTTTCTCTTTTGTTTTTCGTGCCAGGAAAAGCTAAGCTATCAACCCTCACTTCCTACCTGGATGGCCCATATGTATCTTGGAGGCGTACTTCACAGTCACAGCTCCTGGCTGTGGCCCAGACCTTCACCAGGAGGACATTGTATGGTACTGTGGCCTGGTACTCTGTGGAGGTGGCACGGAAGCTGGGCTGGAGCTTTATTGGAGGGTCTGTATGAATGGCACTCATATATGGCTTAAGTTCTTCATCTGGGAAGAAATATGTGTGAAAAAATTTTATTGCATCTGTACTTTCTTTATATAATGTAAATGTATGCTCTGGTTTAAGAATACTCAGTTGATTTTTGAATTTGAATTAACTCTGTTGTTTTGGACATATTATTGGTTTTCTGGGACTGCCAAACACACTTTTACAAAAATACAATACAAAAGGACTAACCTTCACTACACTCCTCTTCTGTAGTTATACCTGTAACATTAACAATAAATAAATAAAATATGAATGGGTTAATACACATAAACTGATAGACCTTGGTTAAACAATGTGCTTATCATTCAAAACATACGATAAGTGCACTAACTTCAACTAGAAAGAGTCCTGCTTAGTTTATCACCATGCATACAATGAGACTGCTTAACATTGGATCAATGGTTTCAGTGTTTGGGATTGGATAATTGATAAGCGACATCACTCTTAAACTGGCCTCTTCTTCAGTATGTTTTAAATGGAACCATTAGTCACCCTGAGTGTCAGATATCAGAGGATGTTGAAAACTTCCTGCTGATATAGCGGTGATCATCCAGTGTTCTCTAAAACTTAAGGTGCTTGAAGTAAACTGTTGTTTATTCAGACACATTGTAATATGGGTAAAGAAAATGTATTGGATTTAAGATTCTGATTTGACTCACACAGCCAGATACTAGTAACTGCATGTATACCACTATAAACTGTGGTGCAGCACAATTCTTTGCTGTGAATTAAAATACAATTTGGCCAAAATTGATATCTTTGCCATATCTCAATACTCACCTAATTTGCCATTAGGTTTGACATAGACATTCTTAATTAACTGAATATCTTCTGTGGCAGTAAGCTTGATTTCATCTTTACTGAAATAATAATGTAACATACAGTAATATAAATTTTGTAAACTGACTTCCTATATATCAGCTCATACACTAATGTTATTATAAGCATAGAGGTAAGGTAAGGCCCTGTGTGTGTGCTTGTGCATGTGTGTGTGTGTGTGTGTGTGTGTGTGTGTGTGAGAGAGAGAGAGAGAGAGAGAGAGAGAGAGAGAGAAGGAGAGAGAAAATGCATATGTGCATAAAAAGTTAATCATGTCTGTTAAAACATGTAAACCTCACACTGGGACATTCAGATCATCATAGCTGTCTTCTAGACTCTCAGGATTGTGGTAGAAATGCTCCATCCTCATGATCACATCATGGAGCTCAGCAGTGGGGTGGCGGTGGACTCTTTCTGGGGCATTCTCGGATAGTCCAGGGTATGCTGTCCTCAGTCTGGAACCAAGTGAATTCTTCTGGATGCTGTGGAGTAGGGGCATGTAAACATCTGCTGAAGGTGATGGGTACAGCTGGAATTTACCAATTATGACAGTGTATCTAACTATAATAGACACTCTCACACTCATGCCTACACACATATACACATACACACACACACACAAATTAGGTTATGCCAAGAGTAAAGCATATAAGTAAAACAATGCCACCTTATTATCACTATAAAATAGTATAATACACTCACCAATAGAGTTTAAGTTATCTTGTACATCTCAGTTACGTTTTTTCTCCCTTTTGGAAAAGAATGGGAGCTATATCTCTTTCCCTTTTTTATTTTTTTCTGGGGAGCAAGATAAAAAAGGGCTACACTTGCCAATGCTTGTTTGTTTTTTACCTGGTGGTAGTTTCCCTTGTTCATGTACTCTCTCCTGGTATCCATCATATATATCAGGTCCTGCTCAGTGAGACAGAACTTGTGCCACGACTGACAACTAACATCCTGAAAGACAACATTAAATTATAAGTGCCATAATTTTATTCTCTACAGGCATAGATGTGTACGTTTTGTATATTTCCATAAAAATACAAGCTAAAAATAATTTTATGCTAAAAATTACTAATTTGCAATCCACTATCTCCATCTCAGTTACCTTTTTTGCAGAGAATACAACAGAGGTTTTACATACCACAATTCCAATGTTACTGTCCAGTTCCTTCACTGCTCTGACCACATCATCCACTACACTGGTCCGAGAGAACAACATGGACAGCAGTTCATCAGCTGCCCCTCGCTTGACCACATTGCTTGCCCAGTTGTTTCCACCTTCATGTCCCTCCTGCATGTCTGGTTGACCATTTACCTGTGTGGACAATATATATATATATATATATAATACACTATATAATACTATAATATATATATATATATATACTAAATAATACTATATAATATATATATAATAGTGCATTCACAACGAAACTCTGCTACTAGGTAGTTTGAACTTCATGGGGACTCTTGCTGAGTGCAATCAGATTATCACACCTCTTTTTGTTTGCAATGTACTCATGTAATCCCCAGCTTTTTTAAAAATTCTATTTAATACCAAGAGGAGGTGTGCTAATCTTTAATCTGATTGCATCCACCAGAAGTCCAAGATGAGTTAGTTGAACGATAGTATCATTGTAAACTCACCCCTAAAGATAAAAACCTGTTAAATGTGCCTACTTGGTTACAGTAAATAAATGATAAGGCATGCTGTGACAAATGATTCTTATCTAGAAGTTATGCAGGTGTGCAGTATTTTTCCATTTTGATGCATTTATATCATTAAGCTTATGTTTTCTTTACCCAGGTTTTACCTTGATCTAGGTCAAAATAAAATGTACACTTCCCAAATTACAAATATGAAGTCATGTTAACCAAAGGACCATGCTAAAACCATGGATATTCAATTGATCCCTAGAAGCCTTAACATGGTACAAGCCTTGCAACTTTACCTCTACTACAGCAGGGTAGAATGTGGAGTTGAATATCACATCAAATGCTAATAGCTGATAGCAGTTCTGGCACCTGGAAGATAAGTGAATTACGCAATCCTGACGCCTGCCACTCAAAAAATCTCAACAACACCGCTTTTACATTTTATAATATTTATAGTAAGAGCTATTTAAAGACCTTTTGTATGTAACAGGATATGTTAGGGATATGTAAGGGGTGTAGTGTGTAAGTTTGGAGTATTTTCCCAATCATCTTGATATTTTGTTTTAATTTGCAGTCTTCCATCCCAGCTGGGAGGAATAGTATCACTGGGTGAATGGCATGAATGGAAATCACCCTAAATACCACACATCTGGTGTAGAACCATTCCTTTCTTTTTCTTTTCCAAATAATTTTTTAAATCTTTGCACTTTTAATTAACATAACAAATAGGTCTAAATTTGGAAACAAAATTGAGTGATACTGATTGTGTATAAGAAAAAAGGTAATGGATATAGCTTTAAAAAGACCAGTTAATACACAGAACAATGGACATTACTCATCCGCTGACCCCACCTGTATGGACGCGAGTGGGAATCCTGGGAGAATCCAGAGAAGTGTGCCACCAGCGTGGACTCTGCCAGTAACAATGTCTGCAGCACAACACTCTCCATGTTGTGGAATGCAACTGTCGCAGCCTCTTTCCCAAAGTTGTGGGTTAAATAATGACGGAGTTGGGTAAGAAACCAAGATCGATTTGGTACCTATGTTAAACAAAAAATTTAATCAAGTGAAATGTATGAAAACAGTCTGACAGGAATGAAATAAATCAGTAAATATTATTTATTTCTTGATTTGTAACATTACAAAGTATAAATGATTAAATATGTTCATAGAAATAAGGTGCTGCTGGTGGATTATATATATTCTGATTTAAAATTTAATACACACTTACGTGTTTTTGGTAGTACACTAATTTTACTGAATGTCTTAAAATGTAAAATTTGTGAATCAAAAATTTTCTCATTACTAATATCATGAACACAAAATAACAGTTTTCATTATGATTTTAGCCTCTTACTTTTTTGAAGTTATTTTTAGCATCCTGCCTGTACTGTACAAGACCTTCAGAATACACATATGCCCTGAGTGGTGCAACAGATGTAACAGCCACGTAAACCCGCACATTGAACGGGGAGCCAAACAACAGGAGAGGGTTCTCAAAGAGGCGCTGTAGTACACCCTCTGTGGTCTTAAACCTGAAATTAAGAAAAACAATTAACAAGATATACTGGATGTGCAGTAGTCACCATAAAACCACCACCTTTTGTAGAAATAGAATGAACAATATTCTTATTTTTATATTCAGAAGTTATTCTGTTCCATAGCTATTACAATGTCTAACTTGCAAATGAATATTATTAGTATGCTCTTTTTGTAGTGTAAGATATTATAAACAAATCATATAATAAAACTAGTTGCCTGTGTTCCTAGCAATTCTTCCATGTATTCAGTCCTCCACTCACACACACACACACACACACACACACACACACACACGGCAATCATCATACCTCAACAAATCCACTTTGTTCTCTGTGCTCACCACCTCCACCCCTCCCCCTGGGGTATTAGGCTTGTATATCCACCTGACATCTGGCTCTGTAGACTTGACTATATCTTGTATATACTGGGAATACTGGGCTGGCATTACATAGCAGGGGAGATAGAGCTGGGTGGTCTTTAAATCTGAAAGGAGAAATATTGGACAATAAAACACCACCAAACTATTGACAAAAGTTTTTCTACATATCTGAGAAGTATTTGGAATTAAGTCTTGTGGGAGAATAAGGTTATTTGGAAATGAATGATTTATAACACTTAAACATGCCTGCTACATGTGATCAGGATATTCACATGTTGGTACAAATGTTCTTAAAACTAAAACATTCCTTTCTGAAACAATAACATTGTCTTGTGATTCTATAGTCATTCTATAAACAAAAGCCATCTTTTCTCCAGCAAAGACAATATTGGGCCTTTTTATTTAAATGAGTCAAACATTTCTTTACACAATTTCAGAATATGGAAGGGATGGATATTTCTTCATATACTTTATGTTACTTTGTATTTCTACAAAATTATTCATTTATTTATTCATTTTTAGAATTATTACAAATCCGATGACATCCTTGTTTAATGTTTTTACCTGGAATGTTAGACACTGCATTCATTGTGTTACACAAGGCATCCTTCCTCCACAAAGTGCCTCGGACTCCTGGAATTCTGTTCACCTAGAAAACATTTGTTAATAACAAAATTACACTTCAGCAATATTTTTTCATTTTACCCTAGCTACAGATATTGATTAGCGTAATGTTGTAAAACACTGAAACAATTAGGGCACTGTGAGCGAGTGTATTGTGTTGGTGAAATGGTAATAAATTTCAAGATATTAACCTATCAGACATATAGCATAATGCTTAGGCAGGTACAGGCATTTCCAGATGGCAATGACTGATGAGGAAAAAGCAACACCCATATATAAGGGGTGCAGTCAAATGTTTAAATATAATTACAGATTGCCTGCACCCTACAACTTATGATTAATAAAATCACACATACCTTCTGATAGTTGTATAATTTTCGATATTCTTCTCGTCTCAGACAGTAGCCATTATCACCATCAGTGAAGGAAAGGCACAGTAACACCAGCCAGTCATCTCTGACGCCCATCCCTACAGTGGCACTACCACCATCCTCCTCTTCTGAAAATGAAAATATATCACAAATATTTAAACGATTGGAACTTAGACTTATTACATATTTGATAACACATTTGATGTCATATTTGATGTCATATTTTCAGTTGGTAAGTATGAACTGCAGCAGACTGGTGTTTTGCTGTCAAAATTATAATTTCTCCTATTGTTTGAATACTATAAAAACCAATGCATTTTAATGACATAAAGATGTTAACCATTTACTAATTTTAAAGGTATGGAGAATTTTTCATTGTCTTATTTTACGGATTTGAATATAGTGCTTGTGCCATTATAACTAAGTATATTAAAACAAAAGACTATTTCCAAACAATATTTTGAAAAGAAATACCTCAACAAGCTGGGTTCATGTCAGAGTCAGTTTAAGTTACTTAAAATTTGCTACTATTTCTCAAATCTATCTTACTCCCTCCATGGCCTTCCTGCACCTTCTCCCCCTGTTGTCTCTCATACCATACTGGTTTCCTCACGCTGAACCCATGTCCCTTCAGTACCTATAATATTGTAAAACAGAAACCATCTTTAACTTAAGCTGTCAATAAATATAATATTAATCCAGTTTCTTGATCCTTTTGGCGTGTGCAGTATTAATAACCCAAAATTACATTGTTTTAAAATTAAGTGCCACAGAAATTCTCCAATAGAGGGCCATGGGGAAAATAGCCTTTGCCATTATGTTTTTACCCACAAAAATAAAGTTTAATAATAGGTTTAATAAATTAAAAAAATAAATAGATAAAATAGACATTTTGGGTGCAATAATACTCAACTGTGTTAAGCACACAATGGACTGTTTTCCACAACATGACATACCTGTTCATACAGGGGTAGGTCTCTGAGCACGGCCACACTGCTACCTCTGACCAGAGCCACCTTCTCTCTCCTGCCCAGACGATCTAGGTACACATCTTCTAACTGAAGAAAAAAATGTGAGGTCAATTTTAAAAACCAACTACAGGTCACCATTGCTCAAAAATACCATTGCCATTTCAAATTTATATTGATAAGGGGCAAAATACTCATGAATTTAAGAAGACTACTTCTGATTTAGCCTGTGTCAATTTTCAATCTTATTTTTGGTCTTAAATTCAACACAAACTTTCAACTTTAATTCTTTTGTGGCACAGAGCCCAAGGTTTTGTTTCATAAAAAAACTAAAACTGCAATTGAAAGGCTGAAATTGAAAGAAATATATTGCTCTTGCCTTATAAAACAAAAGAAATATCTTATTTTTTAGTCCAGTAGTTATTTTAATTTGCACAATTCAAACTAAAATTGCCACACCATCCATTACACATATCCATAGGCCCAATGGCAATCATTTATTTGTGATTGAATAGTTTACTTCATGTAATTAATATCCAGATATTTCAGTTTCAACACTACTTGGTGTGGCCTAAACTACTTGGGAACAAGCCTGTAACCACATAATTGTGCCAGTGGCCCCTTAACAGACATCATTAACCTCTACAGTGAGCCACACATCAAACCAACTACCTTCTGTAGTAAAAACACGACAGATTTCCATGTGTTAGCAATAGAACCTAATAAAACCAATTTTAACCCAGCGGCTGTGCAACACATATCTACAGCGGAGAAACTTCCGCAGCAGATTTCTTCGTTTAATCCTTTTTTCACATGTCAAATACTGCAGTGTTTTAGTTTTTTTCTGAGTGATTTCTTCATTGCTCTTTTAAAAAGGTTAGCATGGTTTTAAGAGCATTTTATACCAATATATCATGCTTGTGTATAATCATATGCAGAATTACTTTTCCAGAAGGTCAAAGTGAAAAAAAGTGGAAAACAGATGACTTACTGTGGTACACAATTTTTCCAAAAATTCAGGCTGAACCTTGTATTTCATGCAAGTTTATGCACTTTTCTTATTTTTTTACTTAACAAATATCTGCTTTATTTCCTCAATTGAAACAAAATTTTGTCTGTTTTAAGTTTTAAATCTATTCTCAAAAACTAGGAAAACTGAAGTGTGAGGAGTTAACAAAAGTGTGACCATCTCCTCCCATCCAACTGCTCAACAGCTACACTGCACTGCACTGACATGACAATTTAAGCCAATTTGTCTCCATAAAAATTAATTAAATTTGCTTTAAGTGCACCACTCATGTAAGAAAACAAACAAAACGAGGAAAAAAGATTACAACAACCAACAGTTGGTTAACCTCAAATATCTCGTAATAAGTAACTTGACTTCTCTGTTCACTAAACCCCACCACAATGTGTTTCCTGCAAAAGTGACAACTTAATTAACCAATTCCTGTCGAAAACTGCCACACCATCCCCTTCTGAATCAGAGGACTTAAATTACAAACATCCCTATCTCTCAACATGTCAATTGTGTAGTCCCTTTACAATGTTTATATAACTCTGCATATCAAAATGTACCATGTTTTTATTTATTTATCTACTTATTTGTGTAATTTTAATTTTATAATTGTGTGAAGTGTGGTCTGAAGAAATATTCAAGGAAAAACAAATGTCACTTACAAAACTAAATAAATATCCTTTTGAACAACTACATCTAAAAATGTGCAAATGGGCACTAGGTGTACGAAAAAATGCTTTGAACAATGCCTGTAGAGCTGAATTTGGAAGATTTCCACTCTATTCTGATATTGCAAAACAGACACAGAGATACAGCGCCAGACTAAAAGAGCTACCTTCCAACAGATTGGTCAAAAACATTTATGAACAGGAGCAAAAAGAAAAAGGACCCTGTTGGTCTGAATCAATAAGAACATTTATACAATGTTGGGGTCTGGGCCATGAAACTGATACAGAAACACTAGATAACTTTGAAAACCTAAGAGATGCTATCAACAATAAAATTGAGGAACTATTTTGGAAAGACCTGGAAAGTGATAACTACAGTAAACTCAGGACATACAGATTACTTAAAAAAACTTACACCCATGAAAAATATCTGTCAATGAAAGTCACCCCATCAGAAATGAAGACTATTGCAAAAATGCGGATTAGTGACCACGAATTAGAAATTGAACGTGGCCGCTATACGTCCCCTAAAACCCCTACTGAAAATCGCAAGTGCCCCCACTGTAATGAAATTGAAACAGAGATCCACTTTTTACTGAAATGTGAAGAACATAGTGACAGAAGAATTAGATTAATGATACCTCCTGAGCAGAAAACAGATCATGAAAAAATTCAGTGGCTGCTCAGTCCAAAAAGTGAATCATGTTTGAGAACATTATATCTTTATATAACTGAAAGTTTGAAAAAACGACACACCCACCAACAGCAATAGTTGTTTTATTCTGTGCTGCTTCCCAGTAAACATTCAATACGTATTGTATAGATTTGTATAATTGTTGCTAATTTGTTATGACTAGTGTAGAGAGCCTGTGAAATGTAATATGTATGCATTTTAGTGCTCAATAAAGATTATTATTATTATTATTATTATTATATGTAGCTTGATAATACCATGTACACTATACTTAAAATCAATAAAGTTTTTTTTCTTCCCTTTACAACTTCTCCCAAAATCCTACCCCTGAGATAAAATGAGCTTTTTCAGGGGTTAATCAGGGGGTTGGGGTGGTGGGTGTTGTCTTCTTTTTAAAAAGAGCATAAGGCTAGGCCCCATATACACCCCTTCAAAAAAATTATATTTTAAAACAAAAGTACTTATAGTGTTTTAGTTTAAATTCTGGTGTACATTAGCTGAGGATAACAGACAAGTAGTAGTCCACATAAATAAGTATCCTAGCTTTGTTTCACTAAACATTTTTATGGTTATGTTGTAAACAACTCATTACTGAACAGATCCAAGCAAAAGAGGGGGGGGGGGGGGTTCTAGAGGATGAGAAACAGATGACAGGGATCATCACATCATTAAAGTAGAATGGCTTAAGCACCCCTGACCTTCAGTCAGAAATCAAAGGTGTGTAAAGTCAGTCATCTGGAAATTGCTCTTCCGGATTTCTCTTTTGATATTCTTTAAACAATTTTATTTTGCGGCAAAATTGCAGTCAGTTCCTGGAGTTTTGATACTGATGCTTTAATGTAACTCGTAAGGTGTGGACATCTTCGACTTTGTTTTTGTTTTTAAATTTCAAAGAAAAACTAAATCCTGACAATTAAAGAGAACATACTAGCTTTTGATCAAGCAGTGCAAAAGAGTGAATATAAATAAAAGAGTGTTTATTCAAAAGTGTATAAAAACATGCATGAAATAAATGGCATATATCTTTTCATTTCAATGAATGAAGAACTGTATGGCAGAGAGCAGTTGAAAATATCACATTTTAGGAGGGGTACCTTCAATTTGTGAAGGAGGCTTGCCATTAAAGGTGTGGTCACTCTTACAGATTACTGAATGAAGAACACCATCTGCTCTTTTTTATTTCCAGGTGGTTTTTTCAGCTAGCATGATAAAGACCATGTGGCCAGTCTAATCACCTACTATCTTTTCTGTTTCAGGGAACAGAAGATGAAGAACATTCTTGGCCCTGTGTTTGAATTAATGAAGGAAAAGTGAATCTGTCTTTATATTGGGTGGTTTTAATCTAAGACTGGATGAAAACCAAATTCATTTTAGGCCATTTAATTTCATCTACACACTCATACTACAAAATGTATATATGATACAGTCAACATGGCTGGTTTATATACAGATCTCTGCATCAGTACCTTCCACATAAGTGAATACTTGTAAATCAAAGTACACCAGCAAAAGTCAAAATTTCTTTCAAAAAGAATCTTGAATAAACTGAGTTGAAGGCAATAGACTGAATGGGGCTGAACTGTGATGGTTTTCTCACCCTGCATGCAATAGACATAAGCTGAAATTCCAACAATTTGGAGAACTGGGATGTTTTGGAAAAGGTCACTTACCAAATAAGAGCTAGCTAGGACAGCTGAGGTCAACCAATACCCTAGTGCAGTGACCCCTCACTGGATATTCTGCTACTAGTGACCAGTTTTTCTACTGCCCTTATCAATCAACAATTACACGTAGGGGAAAAACTAGAGGAATGGTGTCCTTAGGCAATTACTAACTCATCATTATCCATCAAGACTGTGATATCTCGTGGGGCACTGATCAATTTAAAACTGGCGTCCTTTTTGTAATGTAATGACTGAGAGACAAATGAGTACCTCATCAACATTAATTGCAGTTGTTATTCTTCTGAGTTGGAAACACTTGAAAATTACATTCGATGCATTTGTCATTGTTGAAGAAAGACAGAGGCTGTGAATTAAGCAAATAAACCTAGTCTTGTGAAAGCACTGGTGTACCAGTTGACAATACACATTTGCCATTCTGATTTCATCTTAGACCTTCATATAGCAATTTAAAAGTGAGTTTATAAATATTGATTGTAATTCTGCCAACAATTTTCTGCATGGTGTATATGTATGGTGTATTTTGGTAATAACAGAAATGTTGAAATTTCCAGTCAACACCAATTAATGCATTCTCTGCCTCTGGTGTAGTGAGCCTAGCTTCACCAGCTGAACCTTAGAGAAATTTGGGCCTATCTTCACTTTATTCTGTGCAGGTATCCTGGTGATCAGGTCAGGTGTATCACCCCAGGATCACTACACTTTCAGGTGTGTACAGGGATTTAATGTCACATCTCATTCTCACCTGCATACACCTTGACTGCACTTAAAGGGATAGTCACACCTTCATTTACATCCCACGTACATGTGTTAATTCATAGGTAACAAGAATAGAGCAGGGGTTTATCATCCCATCTCACCTTTATCTATATTGGGACGTAAGTTATGTAAAGTTATATAGAAATAGATTTTAGTTCAAGCTGCAGTCAGACAAATAATCACCTTTTTGTGAGAAAGAGTGTGTGTGTAAGAGGAGAGTGAGTCTGCATTTACCACATTTGGGTATATGTACATTCCTATACTGAAAT